GGGCTACGTTGCCTCCGCCCCCAGCAGCTCCGCCACCATTGCCCTCCAGCGCTACGCCACCCCGCACCGCCCTGCTCCGCCTACTCTCCCGGCTGGAGACGCTCGGCCGAGAGCGAGCGCAAGGAGGAAATGACACGGAGCTGGAGAAAGGGGGAGAGAGGGGGGGGGGGAAGGAGAAGGAAAAAAAAAGAAAAGAAAAGAAAGAAGGAGAGGCGGAGGGATAGCGTGTAATGGACAAGAAAACGGAGCAATGGGGAGGGGCAGTCACTGAGACCTCGCCTATAGGATCACTGGGAAGTGGGAGCAAGGCGAGGCCTCACATCAATTGTTACATTGTTTCATTCAAGCTGGCCCCCACTTTGGTCCTCCTCCTAACTTCTGGGTTCCCCGCCCCTGCAGCCAGTCGTTAGTGTAGATGGCTCGCGTGGCCGAGTGGGCTGAAACCCTGGTTTCCTGATTAGCGCGTTCTTGTTCCTTTGACTGCCTTTTTCTTCTGAAGGTCCCCAAGAACCGGTTCCTAGGAGGGTTACAAGACTGCTAATTTGTGGATCTTGCCTAGAGGGATGGAAAGTAAAGCAAGCAGGCCAGCGAACACAGTGGGGCTGTGTGTGTAGGCTGCTCTATGCGTATGCGCTAGGTGTGTAGGGTCATTATGAAACATTGCCCTGGAGCATAGTTTAAATAAAGAAGCACTTTGAGGATGCCCCCTGCTCGGGCTCAGCCGCACCCCGGCTCAGTCCTGGCGTCTATGGGTAGCACTGTGCTTGTGTATGTTCCAGTCATCTGGAGTTCCTGGCACGGCCTTGCACTTGCCCCACTGAGATGACCAAGCCAGGAATCAGCAAACTTTATGACTAGCAGTATTGTTTCCACTCCTAAACAAACCTACAGGAAAGAGCATCCATTGATAAGCTGGCCAATTAACAATGTTGTGCCTTTTGGAACAATCAGCTTTTAGGCAGGGCCCAAAACATCTCTGTTCATCTGTTCACACTGGGCTCGTAGACCAGGAGCCCCCCAACACACACACACATACACACACACACACACACACACACACACACACACACACACACAGTATTCGTCTCAAAAAGTGTATCTGTTACTAAATCTTATGCTGACTTCTCATTCTTGACCTGGGCAGGTTACCATTCCTTTCTGGGGTGTCGTTTCTGGAGTGAGTTTTTAAAGTTTTGACAACTCATTTGTGACTCAACAGGATGTTTCCACTCTCCTTCCTCCAGCCTCTTGCCCTCTTCTTGTGCAGCATCTTCTTCATTGCCAAGGAACACACTGTGGCACCCTTCCTTCCACAGACAGCTTTCTGCAGGCGAGCTTTCCACGCTCCGCTTCTATTCTCTTACCTGTCACTGCCTCTTCAACACACTTTGGCCTGCATTGTGCCCCAGCAGGCCACTGAAACGTCTCTCACAGGCAATCCCTCCCCCAATCCTTCTCAGCCTTCTGGACTGTCTGCATTATAGGATGTTGACCTGACTTTTCTTAAATAAAATGGCAGTTTAGGTGTCTATAGCCCACTTTTTAAAAGTCCTCTGAGATGAATCAAATGGAAAATCACCTTCAGAGTTTTAGACCTGCAAAAATAATTTTGATCATGATCATTTTTTTTTCATTTCCCCTACTAGAAAGCAGAAATTTTGAGAAAATAGCATCTGTTTGTTGATTCTTAATTGTGTGTCAACCTATTACATAACATTCATTTGCTCTGTCCCATCTTGAAACTCAGTCCCCTCCCCCCCTTTTTGGGATAAGACTCCTAGCTCTATGATTGTCACTTGGTAGAACTCAGCATGTTTCAGTCTCAGCATATTAAAATCTGTAAAGTTCAGTTCACAGGATATGCAGTCATCACTCAAGGTCTACTAGAATTATGTGTCTAGACTAGAGGAAAGAGATTTAGAAGCAGCAGTCATACATGTGAGCCCTGGCCTTGTCACCAACTAAATTAGTGACCTTGGACAAATTGTTTTCAGTCTCCTTTTGTTCATCTGTAAATTTCAGCTAATAAGCCCCAACCTCCCTACCACCAGGCCTGTTGAAGACTAAAATGAAATAATACATATGAAAACACTTTGAAAAGGAATAAGTAAAAATCCTCACAACTGTATTATGAAAGTAAACCAATCTACTTTCATTCTAAAACTAACTCCATGCTGATGTCTTGTTGCACTCTTTGGTTTTCCCTTTACCTCTCTTCAGCAGAAGAACATAAATTATCTAACCCCTGGTGCAAACAGCACACAGGTACTAGTAGACATTTTAAATAGCGGATGGCTAGATAATGTTGCTTGTTTACTGATAAAAATCACTGCTAGTAGCAGGGATCTCATTCTTCCCTAGAAGCACAGGTAGTGGGAGCATGATTCATCATTTATGTAGGGTACTGGGTAAAACTTGAGGGGTCTGGATTCTAAGCTGGATTTGCCATTAAATGCTGTGTGATATTAAGCAGATCTTTCCCCCTTTCTGTAAATTGAATGGCTTGAGCTATTTGATTTCTTAAATTCCTCTACAGTTTGCAAATTCTGTGACTATTTCCTGGCAAGTGTCTAAACATGGTAGATGTGCAAACAAAGGCTTGATGATGGAGATGAACCAGGTGAAATTAAAGCAGTGGAGAGGAGGCCATGGGTATATTTGTGTGTGTCCAGCAAACATAATTAATTCACCTAAAGTATGTGAAATTGCCTGTGGGGAAAAAGGTAGGAAGTGCAGTAAGCAGGTAGAAATAGGAAACTCCATATCAAGAGAGAGGTGGTGATTAATAATATACTTTTGGATTATAGATGAAGCCATTTGGAGAGGATCATCTCATTCAGGGATATCAGAATGATATGAAAATGGGGATGTAGATAGAAGCTTAGATTATGCTAATATTAAAAGTTAAGAAGGATCACAAAGGGTTTTTTAAAAGGAGCAAACAGAGTAGGTGGGCAAAAGGCCAATCAGCAGAAACAGGGAAAGAGAAATTAAAAACAGGTTGTTTACTTCTACCTCATTAAAAAAAAACACATCCTCACAAAGAGTCTATTATTCATTAGGACTCTATCAACGGGTTTACCTTTTGGGAAGAAAGAAGATTGGACTATCAGTGCTTCTCTGAACTTTAAGGAAAACTTTCTTAGATGGACCCTTTGTAAACTCAAATATGCCTCATAGCAGTGTCTTGAGCGCCTCTCTGAATTAAGGACTCTATTGAGATTCTAATGAAAGCTATACAATCTCACCTCTAGAAGGCCTCACAGAATCTCCCAATGTTATATACAGTTTGGTCTGAGGCTTATAGAACCCTAACATCAGAATCCTTACTCTAGTAAAAAAAAAATACATTTTTTAATTTGGTAAAAAAAATAACAGATAATATGAAATCTATTCTCTTAAAATTTTAAGTTTACAGCACAGTATTATTAACTATATGCACAATGTGCTCCAGCAGGTCTCTAGAACTTTCCAACTTGTATGACTGAAACTTCATACACCTTGAACAGCAATACCCATTTCTACGTCTCCCCAGCCTCTGGCAACTACCATTCTACTTTTGCTTCTATGAATTTAACTACTTTAGATACCTCATATAAGTGAAATCATGCCATATTTGTCCTTTTGAGACTAGCTTATTTTGTTTAGCATAACGTTCTCAAGTTTTATCTGTTGTAGCATAACAGTATTTTCTTTTTAAAAAAAGACTGAATAATATTTCATTGTGTGTATATACCATATTTTCTCTATTCATTCATTGGTCAATGGGCATTTAGTTTGTTCCCACCTCTTGGCTTATGTGAGTAATGATGCAATGAACACAGTAGTGCAGATATCTCTTCTAGATCCTGATTTAAATTCTTTTGGATAAATACCCAGATGTGTATTGATGGAATATGGTAGTTCTATTTTTAATTTTTTGAGTAACCTCCATACTGTTTTTCATACTGGCTACACTATCTTACATTCACACCAACAAGGATTCCAATTTTTCAACTTCTTTGCCAACACTTGTTAATATGGATTTCTGTGTTTTTTAAAATATACAATGGCCATTCTAACAGGTGTGATATGACATGCATTGCATTTGCCTGATTATTACTTATGCTAAGCATCTTTTCATAAACCAGTTGGACATTTGTATGTGTTATTCAGAAAAATGCTTATTCAAATTCTTTGACCATTTTTAAATCAAGTTATTTGCTTTTGGGAGATATTAAACCCTTATCAGATATATGGCTTGCAAATATTTTTCCATTCTCTAGGTTGCTTTTGCCTTTTCTTCTTCTTCTCCTTTTTTCCATGCAAAAGCTTTTTAGTTTAATGTAATCCCACTTGTTTATTTTTGCTTTTGTTGCCTGTGCTTTTGTTGTTATATCCAAGAAATCATTGCTAAGACCAATGCCATGAAGTTTTCCCCCTATGTTTTTCTTCTAGGAGTTTTACAATTTCAGGTCTTATATTTAAGCCTTTAATTCATTTTTAGTTCATTTTTATGAGTGGTGTAATATAGGGGTCCAGTTTCATTCTTTTGCATGTGGATATACAGTTTTCCCAGCACCATTTATTGAAGAGACTATCTGTTCCCCATTGTGTGTTCCCCTTGTCAAAGATTAGGTGACAACATATGCTTGGGTTTATTTCTGAACTCTCTATTCTCTTCCATTGGTCTATATATCTGTTTCCATACCAGTATCATACTGTTTTGATTACTATAGCTTTGTAAAATAGTTCAAAATCAGGAAGTATAATGCTTCCAGCTTTGTTTTTCTTTTTCAAGATTTCTTTGGCTATTTGGGAGTTTTTGCATTTCCATGTCAATTTTGGGATTTTTATTTCTGTGAAAAATGCCATTGGAATTTTGATAGGGATTGCATTGAATCTGTAGGTCACTTTGGGTAGTATGGTCATAACATTTGTTCTTTTAAAGTGCTTACATATTTATTGAAACAATGTTTCAACAGAACAATATTCATTCAGTGAGTTAAATTTGCCCTAGATTGAGAAACAATTGCTAAATGCTAGGCACTATGCAAGGCACTTTCCATACATTATTGGCAATGATTACAATGACCCTGAAAAGTGGTATAATTAACTTATTCCAATTGAGGAGACTGAGCCAAGAAGTGGTAAAACCAGGATTTCAAAGCAGGGACGCTGGAAATGCATTCATGATAACTTGATTAATCATGTCTCTGTCATACTCTCCTTTTTAAGCAGCGGTGGGAAGGGATTGGAGTCCTCCATTCTGTTCTCTCCGTGTTTCCATTTGGGAGTACTTCTGTTAGAATAACTCTCTTGGCTTCTTTCCCCACTCCTGGATCAGTTGGTAATTCTGTCTAGTTAAATGAGAAAAGTATTAGAAAGCTTATTATGGCTTTCTATATATTCCATGTCCTCCAATCCAGTTTTTAAGAGTAATAAACAGATATTTTTAAATGTAATTTTATTGATTTTGAAAGAGAGAGGAAGGGAGAGGGATAAAGAGATAGAAACATCAATGAGAGAGAAAGTCATTGATTGGCTACCTCCTGCATGGCCTCCACTGGGGATTGAGCCTGCAACCTGGGCATGTGCCCTGACTAGGAATCGAACCGGGGATCTCTTGGTTCCTGGGTCGATGCTCAATTGCTGAGCCACACCAGCCAGGCAAAACAGATACTTTTTTCATCTCCGCCTTTCTGCTTCTTGTGTCTCTCAATTGGTCCTAAACCTGGGAGTGGATGAGAAGGGTGTTATTATTTATCACTACTCCCCAAATATATCTACCCAACCCATGTCTACACAGTGTGTGTGTCCATTTATCTGTTCATTATTGTCTTCTGAATGTCTGTATGGGCCTGTTCTGAATGCAACTCTGATTGCCAAAGTGCCTCTATGTGTGTACATCTATGTAACAGAAAGTATGTGTGGGTTTTAGGTCCAAGCTCCATTTGGTCCTCAGCGGGGGGGGGGGGGTGATTGATCTTGGTATGTGTTGGGGAGAGGGGAAAAGAGAATGAAGATATATTCCTTGAATTTGGCTTTGAGGGCCTCCTTTCCTTATAATAATTCTTGCCCTTATCCCTTAGAAGCAGGCTCTACCTCAAAAGACTGCTTAATTTTATTTCTCTTTCCTTCCATTCTGGAGCCTCAGACATTTCCAGTCTGTGAGCTAGTAGCCATAATTTCAGAAACCCTTTCTATGCTGGCTCAAAGACTGTTTGCACATTGTTTACAGACTAGGGAAGTTCTCATTTGTCATAGGCAAATGATCATATTAGAGAAATCTATCTTGCATTTTGTGATTGTTATCTAGTGTTCTATGACACATACATCTAAGCTACCTGGTGAGTTTTATCAAGTCATCTTCTTAATTTCATCAGTCCTGTGGGAAAAATAAGGTAAGAGTCACAATTAGAGTCATCATTTTACAGGTAAAACCAAAGCAATTTTTTTTAATGAAACAAATTTTGTCACAAATAATATCAATAGGTGTTCATTTTTTATCTCATCAGGTGGATCTATTGGACTAATCTACTTGGATTTCTAGGGCCCTGTTCTCTCCTTTCCCATATATCCCCACCCTGCCCAGTAATTACCCTGGCTCTTCTGGATGTTTCTCACGGAGAGATCTGGGGCAATGATAATTATCACTGGAGAGGGAAAAAAGTGTAATGTTCCAGGTATTATTCATATATAGATTACATGAAAATAATAGCAAGTTCCTGCCTCCCATCTAGCTATACACCTAAGGGTGTATGTAGTGGGGGTAGGATGGAGCAAAGGGCAATTTAAGTAGACTATAGTACTAAATAGTCTTATTCCTGGGGAATTTTGCCTAGGGCTAGGGAAAGACATGGTTGAAGCCTGTTTCTTTTGAGTTAAAACTAGTATAACATTATTTTACAAAATACTATAGCTGGGCAGTATTTTTATTAAATCAGTCCTCGTAAGTACATGCTACTAGAGAAAGTTGGAGTTTCCGTTTCTCCTTGGGCAATTTCATAAAGAATCCTTCCATTGCCAATGTATCCCATTTGGGCCATCCTATGCTTTTATTCAGAAAAATACCAACTCTCTCATGGAATCTCAGAATCTTTGCTAGGCTTGGTATTGTGTTTGAGACTATAGATTTAGAGCCTCTTCATCCTTCTTGAGCTGATAAATCTAGACAGTGTGTGTGTGTGTGTGTGTGTGTGTGTGTGTGTGTGTGTATGTGTAAGAGGCTTCCGTCTGTGGTGGCTGGTGCTCTCTGGGAAGGCCTGTTGGAGCAGGAGTTGGTTTGTTTGTGTTCTAAACTCACACGAATGTCAGCCCAATTAGAAACCTTCAATTTGCCCTTGGGGCAATCATTCACCTGGTACAGGTTCAGCTGGGTTGTGATGAATGTTTGTCATTGCTCTAGAGGAGTTTCAGCCAGGGATTGACTCCTTCATATCATGGATGTGAAAGTAAGATGAACTGGTCAGATCCACTATGTGGGTTTGAAGATGACCTCTACTTAGGACCCAGCTTGTACAGGGACTGCCCCTTGCTTTGAACTGTTAGCCAATCTTCTCAACTTCTCAAATGCTGTTTTCTGTGAGTTGTTCACCATTCCTTGGTCATTAATAAAATCCATTTTTGGTGAATATTAAGTTCTTACCTCAACTTCTCTAGCTATGGAAAGAAAAAAATTCACAAGCACATACATACAAAACCCAGCCTTTTTACTTTCAAAAAGTTTCCATCATTTTGCAGAAAAGGTACACTAATTCAATGGGCATTTGAGTACAACAAAGTCCCCACTACATTTTTTTTTAGATTTTAATTTTTTAAAAAATATATTTTATTGATTTTTTACAGAGAGGAAGGGATAGAGATAGAGAGTTAGAAACATCGATGAGAGAGAAACATCGATCAGCTGCCTCCTGCACATCTCCCACTGGGGATGTGCCCGCAACCCAGGTACATGCCCTTGACCGGAATCGAACCTGGGACCTTTCAGTCCACAGGCCAACGCTCTATCCACTGAGCCAAACCGGTTTCGGCTCCCCACTACATTTTGATGAAGCTCTGGAGAAGTACATAGTTGCAGGCAAAATATATATATAAGAAGGATATATATATAATTTCCTTCTTTTCTTTCTTTGATACTTTATTTTTACTCTGGACTAAGTAGAAATGAACCCTGTCTATGAAACATTGGCTGAAGAGGAAGCTGTTTTCTTTTGGCTTGAATCTAGAATAATCTAGTCCAAAGAGGAAAGACAAAGACAACTGCCTTTGTCTAGGAGTGTCAGATGGGCTTCTGCAAAGGATTACTTACTCCAAATATTTTCTTCAAGGGAAGTGGTCCCATGTGTCTAGATGTGTACACATCATACACCCCTCCACCCATGTAGATTCATGAACAAAGTCATACATAAGGACTTATGTTCAAATTCGAGGATGCCTGGCTCATTTTTTTTGAGAGTTTGACAGCTCAGATTGCTAAAGAAAGAGGTTCCTGAATTCTGAAACAGCTGTCAGCAGCCTGACAATACTTAATGTTCCAATACATAGGGCAGTTATAATGGTTGTTGTTTTTTCCACTGGTTTAGATTAAACTTCAGACACCTGGATATCATACTTAATTCCTCTTTTTTTCCCCCAACATCACTGGCATTCACTTAGTCACCAAGATCTGTCATTTCTAGCCCTAAAATAGCTCTCAAATCCATCCACTTATCTCCATGCCCACTGCCACTTCATCATCATCTCACACCTAGACCATCGGAACAGCTTTCTAACTGAGCTCCCTCATGCCTGCTGTTCTCCCCAGATGACTCTAATCCATTCTTCACTTTGCAGCATTTTGAAGCTGGGGAACTCTTCCTAAACAAAAACTGTATGTCACTCCTCTGTCTATTTTTTTCCAATGGTTCTGCATTGTTTCCTGAATAAAATCTAAGTCCCTTGACTAAGATCCTTATTATGTGGCTCCTTGCTACATAGCCAGTACTTTACCCCTGCCACTTCCTAATCACCCCACCCCAAACACTTAGATCTCCAGAAGTACCAAATTATGGGCAGTTACCCCAAGCACAACCTGTTCTCTTGTATCTCTAGGTCATTTTACAAACATTTCTTTCTACCTGGAATGCCTTCCACTTCACCCTTGTCCATCTGGCAAATCCCTATACTTTCTTCAAATCAGTTTGAAGGTCATACTTGGTACCTCTAAGCTCTTCTTTCTTGATGATTTCACTTCACCCTTTATATCACTTCATTGTGGCCCTGATCATATTTTATTGTATTTGTCTCTTTCCCTGGGCTGGCTATTCCTCATGGAAGATAAGGATTGCCTGACCTAGAGCAGCCAGCAACTAAGACACTACGAAGAGGCTCCTTTAGTGATTTAGAACCCAAAAAGGGTCCTGAGACTGACCAAACCCCAGGCCTAGAAATATTTCTACTCTGATGTTGTTTAATGGTACATGTTACTGGAGAACTAATAACAAAAGGATAAAAATGTAAAAATTTGGCTGAGTTATAGAAAAGGAATATAAAAAATAAAAATTGCCATCTTATGCTCCACATACTGGCCCTTGCCATGCCCTCCTAACTTTGGTTCTTCCTCCTCTGACTCTCACTCTACCCTCTGGCAACATCAAAATACTTACAATATCCCCACCCCCCTCATTTCGTGGTGTATCCTACCTCCATACTTTTACTCATGCTGTCTCTCTACCTAGAGTACATTTCCCTTTGCTTTAGGTAACTTCTACCAATACTTTAAGATGTAGCTCAGGCCTCACTTCTTCCAGGAAGCCTTCCCTACTTAATCAGGATATCAGTGAATATGTGCCCACACATGGAGAGAGAGAGAGAGAGAGAGAGAGAGAGAGAGAGAGAGAGAGAGAGAGGAGATATTTTGCTAACAAGTGATAAAAATACAACACATATAAGCTTAAGCCAAAAGAAATGGGTTAATGATACTAATTGAAAAATCACAGGGGTAATTTTAGGCATAGCTAGACCCAGGTGCTCAAATGATGTCACCAGCAATCTGTTTCTATTTGTTGGCCCTGATCTCCTCTATGTTGACTCAGTTCTTAAGCAGGCTCTCCCTGCATGATGGCCAAGATATCCACCAAGAGCTACAGATTTGCATCTTACCACTTAGCAACCCCAGTAGAAACATGTTCTCAATGGTTCCAGCAAAAGTTCTAGAACTGAGTCTATCCCTAAACTAATAACAATGGCCAGAGAAACAGAGTTCTCTGATTATCAATATGTGTTGGTCAGAGATATCCAGAGAAATAGAACCAATTTTTTTGTGGTTTGTTTGTTTATTAACTATAGGAATCACATGATTATGGAGGCTGAGAAATCACATGATCTGCTGCCTGCAAGCTGGAGAACCAGGAAAGCTGGTGGTATAATTCAGTCTGAGTCCAAAGGCCTGAGAACTAGAGTGCCAATGTCTAAAGGACAGGAATAGAGTAAATAGATATCCCAGCTCAAGCAAACAGCAAATTTGCACTTCCTCTGCCATTTTATTATATTCAGGCCCCAACAGATTGGATGATGCCCACCAGCATTGGTGAGGGCAATCTTTATTCAGTCTACTGATACAAATGATAATCTATTCCAGAAACACTCTCCTCTCACAGACAAACCCAGAAATAATGTTTTACTAGCTATCTGGGTATCCCTTAGCCCAGTCAAGTAAACATATAAACTTAATCATCCTACTACAGTTGAGTGATGTACCATCTAAGTGGGATGAGATCTGTTACCAGAAGAAGCCATGTTGGGCAGCAAAAGCCCTATATTTTAACACTTAGTTTTCCTCTTACATTCTCCCATGTTCCTTCCCTTTCAATGTCTCTGATCAGACAGTATCGTTTGTATTTGTATATATATATATATATGCCTCCTCTACTAGACAGTGAGTTTCTATGTCTATTTATTGCTATCCCTAGAGATAGTATGGGGGCTTGGCTTCTAGTAGGTATTCTCAATCAATGAAGGATGAATGAATAGCCTTACTGTGCATTTTGAACAGATGATTAATTACATGGAGCCATACTGAAGGCTAATTCATGCAAATAGTTTAAATTAATAATTAGACAAATTAACTTGTCTCTAATTTATTTGATTAAATACACAATTATTACTGGGTTGCATGGTAAGAGGCATAAATGGCTCACTCAACATTCCAAAATTATGTAATAAATGTCTTCTATGTGTCAGTCACTATGCTAGAGACTAAGATTATCCTCTATTAATTAGCCCCTTACCATTAATGAAAGTCTGTAGTTTATAGTGTGTAGTGATTGTATGTGTGGGCTCTAGGGCCCTGGGTTTAAATTCTAGCACTTGCATCTACCAGTTTAGTTAACCTTTGATCAGTTACTTATCCACTGTGCCTAGTTTCTTCTTTTGCCCCACCCTGTATTATTTCCTACAATCCTTGCAAAAAGCCTTGTAAGGTAAGCTCTTCTGTTATCTTCTTTTACAAGTAGAAGAAGAAACTGAAGGGCAGAGAAGTGAAATAACTTGCCTAAAACCACATAACTAGTAAATGGGAAAGCCAGGTTTCCAACCCAAGCAGCCTAGCTCTAGAACTCATGCTATTTACTACCTCTTCATGTTGCCTATGAGCTCAACCTCTCTGAGCCTCAGATTCCTCATGCGTAAAATCATCTTAATTGTGCTCATCTCCTAGGGTTGCTGTGAGGATTAGAAATAAGCCAGGGGAAGCATTTTGCACAATACTGGACACATTGAAAGAGCTTACTGTGTAAGAATTTTTATTATTCTGCCTCTCCATTGTTCCAAGGAGCAGCAGGTCTGGACCTTTCTTCCTTTTTGCCAGTGCTATTTCTTGATTCTAATTATTCTGACTACAAATTAGTTTCTGTATGAGGGAGGTACTACTGGGTTAGTTACAGAATGAAGAAAACTTTGATGCCAATGATTTTTCTTAGTTCATCCTCAACTGTGATTCTGCCTTCTGTATCCTGGCTACATGTGTCACTCACCAGGTTCCCCAACACTGGCCCAGTCTCTCCCCACTCTCCAGCTAATCTTCCCAATGTGGGCTCTTGCCAGGCTGGCCATATTTCCTTCCACCTGTCATCTCATTATGGAAAAATGGACTTGAAAAGGATTGAAACAGCAGCCTGAGGGAGACCCTCGTGGACACAAATACACCTGAAAGGGATTTTAAATTGTGGCTAGTTATTTCATTTCCCACTGGTAATTTGTATTTTCCTGCCACCTTCACACTATTTTGAGTATATATCTAATCATAGAAACAATAAGAGTTAAGACTAAACTGAAAACATGGAAAGAAAGATAGCAACTAAAAAATCCATCAGTCAGTGATGAGCTTGCACTATTACAGCTGCAATCCAAATAGGTCTGATCCTTTGGGAAAGCAATTTGGCAATTTGCATCAAGAACCAAAATTATGTTCCTTGCCCTTTGACACTGCAGTCCCTCTCTGGGAATTGTATCCTAAGGACAGACATCAGCAGAAGGAAAACAAAAGTTGATAGGCACAAAGACTGTCAATGCAGTTTTACTAACAAGAAAATGGAAATAATCTTAATGTTGATCAACTTGATGTATATTAGGGTTTATTAGCAAATAAAACAGGAAAAATAGAAGGTTCATTTTATAATGTTAAATAAATAAAACAAAATACAAGATAGTTATGAGGTAAAATTATCTTTATATGGACACAACTTAGAAAGGATTTTATAAATGAGGACACAACTTAGAAATGAAAATTCTAGCATTAGGATAAGGAAGTCCCTTCCTCTGCACTTCAGTGTTTTTGATTATTGACTTTAGAAGTTTTAATGTGTTTGGGTAAAGGGTGAGGAGTGGGAAGTAGTTGGAGAAGGAATTTCAAATACCAGCTCCATTAACTCTATTTTCTACTCATCAACTTAAAACAGCAATTTTCAACTGGTGTGCTGCAAGACTTTTTAAAAAAAAATGTTTTTTATTGATTTCAAAGAGAAAGGGAGAGAGAAGCATCAATGATGAGAGAGAATCATTAATCGGCTGCCTCCTGCATGCCCCCTACTGGGGTTGAAGCCCACAACCCTAGAATGTGTCCTTGGTCAGAATCAAACCCAGGACCCTTCAATCCACAGGTCAACGCTCTATCTACTGAGCAAACCAGCTAGGGCTGCAAGACTTTTTAAAACATGCAATATCTGACTTTAATCAGAGGCACTGACCTCTCTTCCCTTAGATTGTCAAATAAAAAGCTGACAACAGCCAACAAAACAAAAGCCAGCCAGTGTGAATGAATCAAAATTATACCTATTTTTGGAAGATCAGCAAAATATATATCTGGTGTGCTGCAGAATTTTAGCTATCCTAGCTAACAAAGAGGGAATATGCAAATTGACCATCATGCCATCACAAAGATGGTGGCACCCACAGCAGAGACGGGGTTTCCGTAACACAAGATGGCTGCACCCACAATGGAGGCGGGGTTTCTGTAACATAATATGGCTGCACTCACAGTAGAGGCCAAGTTTCCTTAACAAGCCTTAATGAGCAATCAGCAGGGACCTGAGGCTGTGTGGTGCTGGGCCAGGGCAGGGGACCTCAGGCTGTGTCCCCCGCCCATCAGGGCTTGATGGGGGACCTCAGGCCGCACCCCTGCCCCGGGGCCGGGCCAGGGGACCTCAGGCTGTGCCCCCCTTCCTGGCGCCAGGCTGGGGGACCTGAGGCTGCAACCCCCTGCCTAGCGGGGCTTGACAGGGGCCCTGAAGCTGCGCCCCCCTCACCTGGCGGGGTTTGACAAGGGTGGGGCCGGCTGGGTCTGGATCTTGCCTAACAGGGGTGGGGCTGGCTAGGTCTGGGTCTCGCGCAATTTTGAGGCACCGCGGGTGGGCAGGGACTTGACTCTGGGTCCCGCGGTGCCTCCCAGACTCTGACAGGAGGAATATTTTCATATACATTTTACTAATTTTCTTTCATCACTGACACTCCTATTATAGAGAAAGGGCAAATAGCAATATTAAAATATTTCCTCTAATTAATCCCCTTTTAATGTGCACAAATTTTGTGCACCGGGCCACTAGTTAGTTTATATGTGCCATGAGATGAAAATGGTTGAAAATCGCTGCCTTACAAGTAAAACCAATTAAGTATTCAACTTAGTTTTGTCTTTTAATACAAAGATAGACAGTAGCCCCATTTACTCATCCTAACAGATATACATACACAGTCAGGCTCCCTCCTATTCCCTAGCCCTTCCTTTTCTGGTCCCACTGTGGCATGCAACAGGGCACAGGAGTGAATACACTCATATTTCCATCCTCAATATTCCACTATCAGCTATGTGACTTTAAGCAGGTTACTTTAACTTGTCTGAGGCTTGGTTTGTTCATTTGAATAATGGAGCTTACATTTTGGGATGTGAGAATTAAATAAGTTAATGTATGCAAAGTGCTTAACGCAGTGCCTAATATCATGTAAATGCTCAATAAATCTTAGCTGTGTGCTACAAGATTGGGATAATCCTAGCACCGACCTCAGAAGACTTCTAGGGATGAAATGGAAGAATAAATGTCAAGCCTCTGGTTTCATAAGTGCTAAATGTATTAATAGCTGCCATCATGGAAATTGTTGCACTGGGCATTCTTACCCAGAAACAAAATTATCAGATGATAGAGGAAGCATGCTGATATTAAGTGGGATGGTGTCTGGAAGACATACCTGTTAAAATTCCTTCCAAGCAAGCAGTACAAATCCTCGTGATTTGAAGGTCAAGAAGAGCCTGAGAGTGACTCAGCAGGGAAACCATGTGCAGAATAAAGATGAAGCTCCTTTTAAATCCATGAAGAAACTAGAGAGTAAACAAGAGGATTATTGTTGATTGTAGTAATTCAGGGACAGCTCCTAAAAGAATATGCTAAGAGGTCAGAGGCAAATCAGCTAGAAAACCTTGAAAGAAAACTTAGGAGAGTTGAGCAGAATCAGCAGGTGTAATCTGATCCCAGGAAAAAAGAGGCTAATAATAATAGCTAATACCTAATGTATAGTTAGAATTTACTGTGTCAAGCATTGTGCTAAGCAATTCATGTGCAATATCTCATTTTATCTTCCTTATCATCCTATGAGGTAAATTTTATTATTACTCCCATATTATAATCTGGACCTATGTATGCATGACTACAAAACCTTAAAGTATACCAAGTCCCAAGAGAGAACCTTCTGGAAATAAGCCATTGAATCAGGGTTAGAGTGTCCAAAACTGAATTCATCATCTTTTCCCAGGGAATCCATCTTTTGTTCTGTACTTCCCATTATAGCACTACCATCCACCCAAGCCAGAAATTTGGGGTTCACTCTTGATTTTTCATTTTCAATTGAATCAGCCACTAAGGCCTTCAAATTTTGCTTCCTATTTCTCAAATCCATCTTTTCCTCTCTATCTCCTGCAAATTAAGCTCTCCTGGTCTATTCTAGTAGTGTCCTATCTGGATTCTCTGCCTCTAGGTTTTGCTTCCTTGGTAAGTATACTTGGCCTACAAACTGCAACCAGAATGATCTCTTTTCTCTTACTTTCCTTTTATTCTACAAGGTAATCTTTCTAAAATGCAAATTTGACCATGTAATTTCCCTACCAAGAACTTCTAGTTGTTCCATAATTTTCCTGTGTGTTGTCCATGATTTAACTCTCCATGTCCTCCTGAGCTGTGCCCATTTCTCTAGCTTCATCTCCTGCCATTCTCTATTCCCTGAACTACATGTAGTTCCTCCTTACTCATCTCTCTAGTCCATGGCCTCATGAGTTTGTTTGTGTAATTTATTCTGCCAAGTTCACCCTTTCCTATACCTTTTCTCTAAGTCTTTGAGTCTGAGCTTAGGCATCAACACTTTCATAAAGTCTTTCTGTACCCCTAAGTATGCTAAGTGACTCTCCTCTACCCTCTGCCCTCCTTCACCCTGTGTGTCTGGTCACTTATGACAGTACATTGAAATGATGCTTGTGGTTCTGGATCATTCCTTGTTCATCTCTATATCCCCCAAACTTAGTGAGTCCCTGATCCATAGTTAAGGTTTTTTTAATCTATGTTTTTTGTTGATTTCAGAGAGGAAGGGAGAGGGAGAGATAGAAACATCAATGATGAGAGAGAATAACTGATTGGCTGCCCCCTGCATGCCCCCTACTGGGGATCGAGCCTGCAACTCTGGCATGTGCCCTTGACCAGAATCAAACTGGGGACCCTTCAGTCCACAGGCTGACACTCTACCCACTGAGCCAAACCGGCTAGGGCCATAGTTAGGATTTGATAAATGTTTTTGAACTGTTGCAAGTACCCAGTATCTGTATCCAAGTACTGCTTGAGGTAGAGACCAAAAAGATCTAAAGGAAATAACTACCAATTATGAAGCACCTACTGCGTGGTGATGTCCAACTCTGACTAGCACCCACTAGTACTAGACCCATATTTTCTCTTATTTTTCTCTATAGTTTTAATCACCATCTGTCATATTATATATTATACTTATTTCATTTGTCAAACTTCCCCCACTATAATATCAACTCTACATGCGTAGTAATATTCACCTTTGTTCATTGTTGTATCCCCAATGCATATGAGTGTCTTGCACATACTAGTAGTAGGTTCTCAGTAAATATTTTTGAATAAATATGGAGGTTAGATACTTTGATCCTTTTATTTTATTTATTTTATTTTTATTATTGACATTATTGAGGGTAAGCACTTTCAATGTATAATCTCATTTGTTCTTCACAACAACCCCACAAGGTAAGTATTAATGTTTCTATTTTATAGGTGAGGAAAGTGAAGCTCCTCATCGCCCACACAAAAAATGACAGAGGTTTTGAGAATCAGGTATATTTATTGAGCCTAAAGATTGAAAGATGATTGATTCAAAGATCTTGGTCGCAAGATGTGGCGGTGCAACAAAAAATGCCAGCCTAATAAAATAGCAATAAATAAGCAAATCTCTGACAAGCTGAATTGAATAGAAAGACTATACTCTCTTCCAAGGGAGAGACTGTATATTTCTACATTCTACAAATGAAGTCAGTTTTGTAACCTGAATAGCTATATCTGCTGTTCTAAAAGAATCTGGGGGCTTGTAAGGACTTCCATAGAAACATTATGAGGCAAGTCCATTGGAGCAAGAATACCATTTTTGCAGACAAGCCCCTCAGGATGTGCATATAAAAGTTAGTCTGTGGCACAGAGAATTGGGGTGCCCATTATGCGGCCTCTATAGGTACAAACCACACATACCTCCATAAGGGTAGAAGAGAACTAAGCACTTTGCAAAAGGTCTTACAAGACTCCTGTAGTCAGGGTCTGGAATTTAACCATAGTGCCTGGATCTCAATACAGATGACATACTCCAGAACTTTTTAATTCTACCTCAAGTTTTGACCTCTGTAGTCACATTTTCAGCTTCTGACCTTTACAGCCCATTGAAGACTTATTTTCAAGTTTTTTACCTGACTATTTTTAGGCTAGATAAATTAGAAAGGGAGAAAAAACACAGGCTTAAAACAAGGAGATTTGTTCCTATGTATTCTTTTTTTCCCCCTACATATTCTTGAAACTTTTTTATTTCCCCAGAAAGGAAAAGTTTTCTGAACTTTCCTAAAAGATGACCTAAGAAGTAAGATTTTTTTTCCTACATGTCAACTGTCACCAAAAGAAAAATATCTGGCATTTGTATCATAATACAAATGTATTATGTATCACAATAGATTTGTATTTTATTGTGTGCTTTTCACTTACACTAGGGCATTTAAAACTCTTTATTGTTGAGTATTAAAGATGTCCCCTTTTTCCCCCCATTGCCCTCCTCCACCCTGGTCCTGCCCCATCCTAGGCCTTCACCTCCCTATTGTCTGTGTTCATAGGTAATGCATAAGTTCTTTGGTTAATCACTTCCCATTCCCCCTTCTCTCTGAGATTCATCAGTCTGTTCCATGCCTCTGGTTCTATTTTATTCATCAGTTTATTTTGTTCATTAGATTCCTTGTTCATTTATTTTGATTTTTAGATTCCATTATTGATAGATATGTATTTATTCTCATTTTATGGTTTATATTTTTCTTGTTGTTGTTATTATTATTATTATTATCATCATTATTATTCAAGAAGATCCTTCAACACTTCACTTAATACTGGTTTGGGGGTGATGAACTCCTTTGCTTTTTCTTGTCTGTGAAGCTCTTTATCTGACCTTCAATTCCAAATGATAGCTTTGCTGGGTAGAGTGATCTTGGTTGTAGTTCCCTGCTATTCACCACTTTGAATATTTCTTGCCACTCCCTTCTGGTCTGCAAAGTTTCTGTTGAGAAATCAGCTGACAGTAATATGGTGCTCCCTTGTAGGTAACTAACTGCTTTTCTATTGCTGCTTTTAAGATTATCTCTTTGTCTTTAATCTTTGGCATTTTAATTATGTGTCTTGGTGTGGGCCTCTTGGGTTCATCTTGTTTGGGACTCTCTGTGCTTCCTGGACTTGTAAGTCTATTTTTTTTCACCAAGTAGGGGAAGTTTCTGTCATTATTTCTACAAATAGGAAACCTATTTGAAGGTACACTAGGGCATTTTAATCATCACAATCCTTTTATAGTGGAGGAAATGGTGACCCCGAAAGGCATATAGCTAGGTTAAGGCCACACAGGTAGAAAATGGCAGAATTTGATTTGTAAATCTCAAGGGGTAGCAAATACCAACCTTGCCTATTCTACCTTTTATTAGAAATCCCCCTTCAAGCTTCCTATGGTAAAAAGTTAACTCATCATCTTTGTCCCCTACTTCTGTCACCTATCTCAGGATATGGAGCCTTTATCCATACCAGTGTTCAAGTCAGGCACCTGGGAGTTAGCCTTGACTTCTACTCCCATGATATCTCTTGAATATGTTCCCTCCTCAATAACGGTCTGCCTCACTACCTTATCTCAGATTCTCATCTCCTTTCATTGAACTGATGCAATGTCCTCTTCACAGGCTTTCCTGCCTCCATTCTTACCCTACTTCATTCTCTAAGCCAGGAGGACCTTTATAAAGAACAAATTAGATTAAATCATTATAATTATTCAATAACATCCCATTGCCTATAGGTTAAAGTAGGGCTCCTTAATTTGGCATCACATCCTCCCTCCTTTCTTCCTATATTCCCAGACATGAACCCTGCATTCTACTGACTGAAACTCTTAGTTTTCTAAAATGAACATAAACTGAGCTCACATTTATTGAGCACTTATTATATGCCAGGTTGTAGTCTAAAAGTATCATTTCCTATCATTTAATCATCAGCAATTATCCTATGAGGTGGATAATGTCATCACCTCCATGTGACAGATGAGGAAATGGAGACAGAGAGAGGCTAACTAACTTACCAAAGATAATTCAGTTAATAAGTGTAAGATTTGGGATTGAAGCCCAGGAATTTTGGTTCCACAGTCTGTGTTCTTAACTACTACCCTACCTCTTTCATTCCTTTCTATCTGCCAAGAATGTCTTTCTCCCCTTCTCATCATCCACAAGGCTAATCTCTTTAAGACTTAACTCAATAATCTTCTCTGGGAAAATTTCCCTGACCACTCCACATTCCTTTGCTACTTCTGATCCCTACCTCAGGCTGAATAAGATATCTCTCTGCTGGTTTCGCTTAGAACCTGTCCGTTCCTCTAATTATAGCACTTGACTCATAACTTACATGCCTATTCATGAACTTCTTGAGGTCAAGAAGCTGGCTTTAGTCACATTTTTTTCCAGCATGTCTGTAGCACAGTGCCTGGTACATTCAAAATGTTTGTTGAGTAATTATTATTATTCTGGAAGACCTCCAATAAATA